AGTAGATAAAATTTAAAAATCAGTTCCTAGTCACACTAGCCACATTTTAAATTCTCAATAGCTTCACATGGCTAGTGGCTACTGTGTCGGACAGTGCAGATATATGACGGAACATTTCCATTATTGCACAAAGTTCTATTGGACTGTACAGTTCTAAGATATCATAATATTTTACTTTAACAAAAAAAATCTATGTTCAGCCAGGTGATTGTATGCATAGCCTCCCTTTCCCTAGATATTTGGAGCTCTACAGATGACTTGCTGGTTTATATATTTAAACTTTATATTGTCCAAGGAATTTGAACAGCAATTGCCCACATGTAAGACATAAATAATTTTCAACAAAGTTTTGGTAAGATATCTAAGTTTGATGTCAGAGTGTGGTGCCAACATGAGCTTCTTATCATTATTAAATGATTATTCCAAGGCTGCTTCCTGTCCAATCTCCTTCAGGAATAAAGAATGACTAAGGCATGGATCCAACATTGGTCCTACCTCAATGCAGTTAGCGTAACTGATGTTCACATCCACATGAGCAATGAAAAAACTGAAATCCTTTGCCATATGTTCTACTATGACAGGAAAAGAGTGATTAAAAGTTTGAGAGAATTGACTTGTAGTATCCTGAATTCCAAAACTACTTAAAATCATTTACCTTGTTTATAGGGACAAACTTTGTATGTGTGTATCTCTAGGTAATTTATTTAAGCCTTACTACACTAACAGATATGAGTGTAGGGTCATGTGGCATGAAGCTTTGTTTATATGTATAATAACTAAGGACATAGCACCTGGCATATATAAACACATTCAGTAAGCATTTGTTAGATAAATAAATGCCTGAATTAAAAGTGTAGTTCTTATGTTAAAATATAAAAGGAGAATAGCAGTATGTTTTTAGTTCTGTCTGTGTAGGCATAGGAATACTCTATAATTGTTGACTTAGGCTTTTTTTTTTTTTTTCCTTTTACTTTAATAAAACCCTCCAGAAAATAATTTAAGGATTATTTCCTAAAATAACTACTTTTTTCTTTTCAAAAATGTAATAAAAGCTAAAGTGTAAATTGTTAGTAAAATTTTACAACTTAGTTGTAAACCTTTATTTTCAGAAGAAATTACGACAAATATTAACTGTGGTATGTAGCCAGTGCATTACTTAAAAATGCTTGTAGCTCTGACCCAGGTGGGACAAGGGCAATACATGTAACCTAAACATTTGTACCTCTATAATATGCTGAAATAAAAAAGAAAAAAAATGCAAAATCTTGCATCTGTCCCCCACACATATGTACAGTTAAAAATTAAAACAAAAAGTCAGATAAGAAAATAGCATATATGAACTGGGTGCAAGAATCATTTGCACATGATATGTTGATTTTGGATTCTGATATCTTAAATGGCTTTGATCTCAAGTACACAAAATTGCCAATTCAGGTTTAGGTCAAGAAAAGTTTATGGACTTTCTAATAACCTCATATAACACAAAAGACTTTATTTCATTTGTGAGTGATATTTCTTCCTAGATTCAAAAATAAGGGTTGCAACCCCTAAAGGTTTGCAAACTCAAGAGAAAAACTGCTAAAGTAAGCAATATATTAAGCCATTCTAGATTTTAATTCTTTGTGGAGATTTGTAAAATCAAAGAAGAGAAAGTTGGTGTTGAATATGAAACTCC